GGAAACAGGTTGGGAAAACAGTGGGTCCAAAGAGACAGGTCTGGAGTACGATGGATTCATAGTATATGTACATTTTCTGAATTTGGGTAACTTGGAGCTAGAATATCACAATAATGTTGCTCGGTTGAGACTCTTTTCTTTCTATTAAATACGTATAAATACGTATAAACCCAACAATTCCTGGCTTTTCTCATCTCCCTTCCTGAAACCAGAACCCACCGAAGCTGACCGCAATCAATCGCACCTGCTGAACAACAGCGAGGCCACTTGAAGCCCAAAGGTCAATGCCACAGAGCAAGCAGCCTCAGAAAGAGGGATTGAGCGGAAGTCGAAGCTGGGTGTATATGCCAACAATGGTGGTTCCAATGGACTATTCTCAATACATCATAATATATATATATATATAATTATATATATATATGTGTGAATAAATAAATATTTGGTGCAGTGGCGCTCACTCCCCGCGTGGGGTCTCGAAGTTATTTTGGGCTGTTCCCCCCTGTGGATGTGGCCTGTGGTGGGGTGGGAGGATTTGGGGGTGGTTGTATAGTATGGCCCGTATGGCCCAAACAAAGGCCATCACCTTCCTCATTTTTTTCGAATCCATATTTCAACTCACCCAAAAATGTACAAAGGCCAGCCATGCACATGACAGTTTCCTCATATCTGCCCAAGGACCAATACATCTTGGGGTCACTAAGTACCAAAAAAATAACGGTGCTGCTCAACCATGTCCGCGTGAGGTGCAGCAGGCCTAGTGGATCCATGTGGATCCCAAAATCCATGGTTTCGGTGGGGAAATCCCGTGATATGTCCAGTAAAATCATGAAATGGCAGTGTGTCAAAACCTTGTACCCCTGTAGTTCACATCAAAATAGCTGGTAAATGGATGTTCATCCCCCTAAAAATGGTATTAATAGGTATTGATCCATACCCAAATATCCTACCCGTCTACCCATGCCAGAAAGTCCGTCCATGGGTCATGGAGTTTTGTAACTACGCCAGGAAACCACCACAGCAGCAGCTTTCTTCGTCAACAGATTGCAAGGAATCACGCACATGCGCAAGAGGAAGGTATAACATGAGGATGCCTTGGTGAATGCGCAGACATTTAAACAAAAAATCGCTGCCAGTTTTTGGAATCGCCTGCAATAGTGTCCTTATGGACAAAATAGAGGGGCCTGTCTGGTATACAATCTATGATCATTCAATACTGGTTGGTGGTTTCAACCCCTCTGAAAAATATGAGTCACTTGGGATGATTATTCCCAATATATGGGAAAAAACATGTTCCAAACCACCAGCCAGTCATTCAATATCATTTACATCATTTACCTATTGAGCGTTTAATGGAGGTGACCCCACTATCATCAACCAGTGGCAAAAGGGCATCGAGTTGGTAGCCTGCCTGTCCATATTTCTGCCGTTTAGATCTTGGAAAACATGTGAGACATGTCTAAAAGTGAATCAGCCCGAAAGTACTTAACGTTATTAGCCCCAGCCCACCCCAACCAACCTCACCCCCAACCCTGAAAGGGCCCTTCGGGCCCTGCGAGGCACGCGCAAACTTTGAAACATCTCGGCCACCTGTAAGCCATGGCCACAGGATAGGTGGAACATATCACCCTCTATCACTGGATTGGTTGAAGGGAAAATCTACAGGAAACCATGGTTTTCCCCGGTTTTCCTGTAACCAATCCACTGACTCTAGTAACTTAACATACTGTGGATGGACAAAATCCTGCACCAACTGGTAACTATTGCTATATAACTATGAATGACAATGAAACGCTGTAAACAATTGGATTATAATTATAATGCAATGTTTACCATCTACCAACTGGTGCAGGATTTATTCCATTCACAGTAGCTATGGGAAAATGGCACATTTGGTTCGGTGATTTACTTGTTCAAAAATGATGATTTTCCATAGCAAACTGTTGAATTGTATTAAGTTACGGGAGGGTATCAAATATTTGGAGCCACAAACCTATGACTTGGTATGCCAAGATGATATACAATGACCAATGATATCCTATTGAAGAAAAAACCTCCTTTTAAGGGGCGGTAAAACGCAAACTATTTCAATAAGGGGGTGTGTCACCCCCCTACCCTCCAGAAATATTTCTAGGCTGAATTGTGGCATCCGGAGGACCCCCCCCACCCAGACCCTTTTTTGGAAGCCCAAAAACCAGGTTGGGGGTAATATTTAATTTGTGAAATATGTCTCTGAAATTTCTTGCCTAACCCCAAGTATTCCAGGGTTAAAAGGGGGGTGAATGAAGAAAATATGCGGATTATTGGTGATATTTCCATGTATCATACGATAAATATAAGGAACAGAACATTATTGTGAATAGACACGGGTATTGTTGGGAGAAATCGGGAGCTGGGGGGTGGTGCCTGGTAGACCATTTACCATATACCATTTCCCTCTGTCCGCCTGTGTCCAAAAATGGATAAAAAAAACCATGTTTGAAATTTGAATGGGGGAAAATGAGGTTCATTTTCCATGGGATTTTATGAAGTTTTCCATCGTTTTCCCCATTTTTTTAACAGACAAACTTACATCTCTGCCTGCTCTTTTTCCTTGGTATACTGCTCACTGATCACGCCAATGAAAATGTTCATCACGAAGATGGAGAAGAACAACACCCCTCGAGGCGAAACTGATTGATTCCTAGTGGTTCAGAACACAATGATATGGAATTCCAATCGTTCAATCGTTCTTTTATAATGCCCATATCATTAGGGTAGCATTCGTTGGTCATAGAGTGGGAATTATACTAGTGGTTGAACCTAAAGTTCCCATAAGCATTTATCATCGTTCATTTGTGAAATCGATCATTAAGTCTGATTATGTCTGATAATTAATGTCTGAGCCCCAGTTTCTCATCCTCATCCCTTCCTTGGTCTTCATTTTCTCGCAGCTTACATGTCCCTTCTCCCCAAGGCTTTCCCCAAGTGCTGATGCCCCCCCCAGATTAAACCCTCAAGTAATCAAACAAATTGCAATCTCGATACATCTCTATTGAATCCACAAATCCTCAGCAAATGGACGAATTTCCGAGAGTAGTCATTGTAGTCATCATAGGGAATTGAAACAACCCAAAATGCAAAAACGGATTGTGGGAAGCACTGCTAAGCAGCAAAAATCACCCAATGATGTTGGGGGTTTCATCCGGCACCCAGCCGCCCTGAAGACCGTCCGTCTCCTGCATACAGCAAGGACAACTGCAACATATCTCTTGGAGGTTCTTTTGGTAATCCCTGGGCCAGGTGGAAGCTCGGAAACGTCGGAAACCTTAGCCAATTGGAGCTGCTACGCCAAAAATGCTCATATCATTTAGTGATTTTAGTGGGGAATACCGGAATACCTATGATTCAGCAGGGATTTGGGGGAAACAAACATAAAAATGGACAACTCCAATCTGGATATTCACCGTAAAATCAGATGTTTATATATGTTTTCAGCAGGTTTCACTTCAAAATCCTATGGTTTCAACCCATCCCCAGCCCTTCGCCATCGCCATCGCCTGCGTGATCAGGGTATCAAAGGTGTGGAAGACGCTCTGGGGCCACAAATGTTCAGGTTTCCTCGACCGGCTTTGGTCTGGTCATTTCCATGTCGACCCATGGAGTTCGATGATTTACCAGTTTCCAGTCGGTGATTTTTTGATGCAAACTGGAAGACCAACGATGAGAAAGCTACGTGTTAGATGTGGATTTACAAAAACACATCAATGGAAGACCAGCATCTTCGGATCCAGTGGTTTCCCTCTGGAAAAGCTGTGGCAAATCCACGAAATCAGCCGCTTGCAGCAGCTGTCGTGAGCATCCCGGATGGTTAAAAGGACTAAAAATCGTTCAACAAAAACATGGAAACATGGCGCCATTTTGGTGTGTCTCAACATGGACACGAAAATGAACCCACCAGCCAGAAATGTGGGTGTCATAGCTACCAGGTGGTTTTCCACAGCAGAGTCCGTTGAAAACACCAGATGAAATTCTGAAATTCTCTGGTTATCCAGTCTATCTAACCAATTTAATCTATCAAATCTATCTAATCTATTCTTATCCTATCCTATCCTATTTATCGATCTATCCATCTATGTATCTATGTATCTACAACTGCTTTCACCCTTCAGCACCCTTCAGCACCGTTCTATTTTGAGCTCCGTCAAGAGGCAGTTGCACGGTATACATGGCGTGGCTCAAGGTACAAAAACCAACCAAGGTGAAGGTCATGGCCTTGGGATCCAGGAGGTGAAAAGGAGACCCGGAGAGGTAAACATACAAAAAGCTATTGAAAATGGACATAGATGACATAGAAATGGTTGATCTACCTAGTAATAGCATGGTGACTTTCAATTGTTATGTAAAGGTTTACCAGGGGGTAAACCATTCATGTAATTATATGGAGGTGTCCGTTTAGTCATGGGGGGTACCCCCAGTTCTCATCCAAGTCATGGATGACCATGACTTAGTATTGAAATGCATGGTCTTGGGGATCCCCCATGTTGAGAAACCCCACATAACATATGTATATATATAATTATATATGTATACATATTATATGTGATTATATGGTATAGATCTAAGTCTATACCATCACATTGCTGGGATCATTCTGAAACTGGAATATTTTGCGACTGGGCTGTGAGATGGTAGTGGGGAAACCAATAAAGCAGAGCATTGGCTGTGCAGAGAATAGGGCTGATGTTCACTGTGAGATTAATGTGAGCAAAGCAATCATAAACGATTCATATTCTGATGGTAAACATAGCATCTATTTATGGTAAATTTGGAGATGGTCGATCCTCTTGCTTATCGACATTTTTTAGAGATTTTACTGCCGTAAAGAATCCAAAAGCACCTGGGATTTTCCAACCAAAAAGAGAACCCCACGAGTTGATCAGATTTTGATGTGTCTTTTGTTTATCTCACTCGAAAATGGGATGCTAAATCTAATTAGTACCATCATTTTCCCGAATCAAATGGCGCCATTTTCAGACACTGACCTTACTCCGGTCCTTTTTTCGGCATTGTTTCACTTCTCACTTTTCAGCAACTCATCCCTTGAAGACAAAGAGGGTGTCGCAGGAAGCCTCAGCTGCCGCGCCCCGGTGGCCATACAGACCTGATGCTACTGAGGGTCAGACTCGCCCGCTTCCCAAGGTATGCATTTTTTTCATAATTGTTCATTTATGTATAGATGTATATATATATATATATGCATACTGTACATATATATATATATACCACTATATATACATATATATATATATAATTATAGATGCAGTATATTTTATTATATACATATATTTATTATATACATAATTTTTATTATACAATTATATTTATTATCCATATATACACATATATATATATGTATATTTTATATGTATGTATATATATATAATATTGTGTGGGTGTGTCTGAAAATGGCTGGTTAATAGACTTGGGGGTATCACGTTGTCAAACAAAGCCATGTAATGCATGTTACAGTACTATAATGCATGCTACAGTACTATCACTTCGACGGGCGCTTTTGGCTTGGAACAGCAATTGATTGGTTATGCAGAGTCATGCATTTCACATTGCCTATCAGCTTGCAGATCAGTCCCAACTACACCCTCCATGGATTGTATCCAACAGAACTGCAAACTAGGCCCGGCTCGTTTGCAAGCCGTCCATCTTTGGTCCACCCAAAAGAAGACGAAGTCTTCATAGAATCTTTGACCCACTACAAAAGTTTCGATCTGCTTTTCTAGAATGGAACCATACCATCTTTTAATCATATGAACCTGGTTCAAAAAAAACATCTGTTGATCAGCACTTGGCCTACATGATCCTTATCAACTGGGGACCAAGCAATCATGCAAAAATATGCAAAAAAACTTCATTTCATTTCACTTCAGTGAGACTAGGCATATTACCCAAGCAATCTTGGTATCATCCCTATTATTTCATCCCAATGCCGATCAGCTGTAGTAAGTCCGGGTTGAAGCCCCACACCCAAAAGGTCAGGGGGAAGATATTTGATATTTGTGTGACTCTGAAAAGGAGGAAGCATAAGAAATCGGAAAACTTTAAGTTTAAACTTGTCTAAACCATGTTTAAACATATCTAAACCATGTTTAAACAATGTTAAAACCATGGATTGTCGAGTTCGTGGCGATTTTCCGACCATCCATGGGAAATCCCAGCAGCAGCTGCCACCATGTTCCCAGCCAAGGCGGGAGTGGCGGTGCCCGAAAAGGCCCCGTGGGTGTCGAAGTAGGAGACCTCGATGGTGCCATGGCATCAGATTGGAGTGTTTTTTTTACCAAATGTAAGGACTTGTTCCAGCAACAAAGAATGGACAATGATGGAAAATGGGTTCACCATTGGGTAAGATTAATCAACAAGATCATGCAATTTACGAACAAACAAGGTGAGGAATTGGAGTGGTTCGTATAATTCTCCAGCAAGAAAAGGGTGTGTTTTCACCATCGCAAAAAAGATGATGACTTTTTTCCAGCAACAAAATGGGGGGACACATGAATTTACAATAATTTTAGAAGTTTGGCAAGAACATTGGGATTTATATAACTACCAAACCAGTGTGATAGCGGTATGACTGTCGTGATGACTGGGATTAGTTTCCCTGACCCAATTGCGTGGAAAAAGGTTCTTGACTGGGGGAATCTTTATCAAATTCATGATCCACAGTGATGAAGAGACCGGGAAGATTTTAAGATGTTCACTTTGTCGGACACTGAAATCTACGGTGGGGGTACTTGAAGTGAACATGACCATTGGCAAATTGGAAAGGCCTTTTCAGCTCCCGGATGCACGGGATTCTGCGACTGAAGGGCTTCCAACTAGCCCAAACAGTCTCTGTGGATCTTCAGATGAAAAAAATCTATGAGCTAGTGGCCTGTAGTACTTGGGATGTTTATCCTCAAGTCCGCCAGTGATTACAACACCTTTTTTGTTGGGCAACTGATCAATCACCCTGGACCCTGAACTCTTTGCCGTTGAGGGTGGTCTCTTAGCAGACCTATCAAATCACTTTGGTTTGATCAATCTTTATTTTGGCGATCTGCCACATTTCTTCGTAAAAAAATGCCCCTATTTTGCTTGGTCTGCCCACTCTCCCTCTGTTGGGTTTTCTGCCTCAGTATTCTTTTTGGGTGTACCTCACAGGAGGTTCACCATGGAAGCCTTAATCAACTGCTAGTGGTTGGTGGCCTTTGGGTGACTGGTGTACCATGAAAATATCATGGAAAACATGCCATCCTATTATAGTAAAGTTGGTAATAGCCCCATAAATCAATCAAGCAGTGGGAAAAGGACATGTGTGATTCTATGTTTTTCTGCACATCATGGAAATCATCATCTCGTTGTTGCTTCAATCATGTTGATCACTGTATATGACTGTATGATGTCAATATGCCATTCCGTTTTTGTGCACAAAACATCACAATGTTGTCCCATGTTCACACCTTGAAGCAACCAAGAATCACCATGTCCTGCCGTAGAATCAGCATTTCATCATATTTCTGGGTAAATTATAATAATTCACTAATCTGAAATAAGGCTATTTGGGGATGATTCCCCTTACTAACCTTGATTTCCAGTGAGGGAGAACAGTGAGGTCGTTATAATTTACCCTGAAATTTCATCCCATAAATTCACTATAAATGCAGGTTCCCATAAATCATAGGTAAATAACATTTAATCACTATTTCCCTCATATTTCATCCCATAAAATCACCAGTTCCTCTCGCTGAAACTGTGGCCCCTAAGCAGTGCCAGTGACCCCGCGGCCTCGTTGTCTCCGAAGACTCGCCCGTCGCCATCAAGGTCTCTCAAAGCATAGAGGTTTCCCATCTCGTTGCCCACAAAGACCTGATCACAAAGCCCAAAGATTTTCGGATTTTATGGTAATTTTATGCTTTGATATGGTTTTTACACCGGTTTTTTATATTGTTTTATAGGGTAGTAGTAATTGGGATTTATGGTTTGATATGGTTTTTACACCGGTTTTTTATATGGAAACATGGATCAATACCTATGAAAATAGCATTTTGGGGGGAATGAACATCCATAAATCCCAGCTATTTTGATGTGAACTACAGGGGTACAAGGTTTTGACACACTGCCATATGGTTTTATAGGGTAGTAGTAATTGGGATTTAAAAAAAAGGGATCTAATGGGACTATACCATCCAAAATAGGGATATTTGCCCTCCAAAAATCACACGTGGCTATCTGGGAAATCCACTGTCAATGGATGCTTAAAGCTGGGAAAATCATAGGAAAATAAGGGAAAATGCACTATAAATGTAGGTTTACAGGGTTTTTTCAATGAACATCATCAAATGGTGGATTTTCCCAATACTGAACCATCTCCAATTGAGAATTTTTTATTGGCTCTTCGGTCACTAAAATTGGTTCATGGGACTGGGGGATATGACCGGGATATGACCGGGATATTTGGGGGAAAGGATGACAATTTGGGGGGATTATGTCTTGTCTATCCGATAGGTCATTGATGGGTTTCCCATGGTTTCCAAAAAACATGGGAAGAAAACCTCGATTTTTTAAGTGGTAAACCCAATGCCATTGGCACCATCCCGTTCACCAACCATGACCGGGGGCCTTTTTTTCTAGACCCATATAAATCATCCCAAAATAGAGGTATATAGTGGTATATACAATACCTTATATATGCCATAATGAGAACTCACTTGGGGATGGCTCATATCGCCGGGTTTACCACATCAAAAATGGGGGAACGTCACCAATGATGGGAACATAAGGATCAACTCGTGGGTAAAACCAATGGTCAAACCTCCCAAGCTCCGCCCTCAACGCCAAGCCGCAGTTCCATCTCCAGAGATCGTTGGAGCACTCCAGCCGTTGGGGAGGCACATGGGCCGCAAACCGGACTTCCTGGCGCCGGTGATGACGAAAAAGGTCAGCCGTGTTGAGAATGTCATGAAGATGGGATTCAATGATGAAAAAGAGCCTTGCACCCAAAAAAAACAGAAACAGCTGCCAGAGTTAGATTCCTATGATAGTAAAGAATCCATAACGAATGGTTGGTTGGGGAAACCAACTTTTATTTGTGGTTATTTGGAGTTCCAGGAGTAAAGCTGGGCAGAGACACCAGAATCCAGCACCCAAGGCTTCTCAGTTTCCACGTCGAGGGGCAATCGGTCGCCCACACCTTCAGCGTCGCCTGCTTGAAAATTTCCTGCATGGGCTTGAACGGCCACTGTAAAAGCAAGCCAGCAAGAATAGGGATAGCCTTCGGTAAACATTTCATGGCAATGGGAAATACGGAAATACATGGAAATACCCTATGTAAACGGAGGTCTGAATGGGAGAATCATCTATAAATCGAGATTTTCCATTGCCACGTTTGATTCCCAGAGGGTGTAACCAGCAGTAATGGGAAAGGATGATCTTGGACGGAGCTCACTGCCTGAATGTACTTTAAGCGACATGACCCGCTAAACCCCACACTAGGTGCCACTTACAATCATTATCAAACCAGCATGACCAGGAAGAATGGCGGACAGTTCTTTTCCACCCTAATTTTTGCGGGACCCCCAGAAACCCTGGTCCGGAAGGCACAAACGTGCACAAACCGCAGTCCTGTTTGTTTAGGTCCATGGAAGACCCAACGCAATCCTCCTGTGTTGGCATCGTAAGCATGGACATCGCAGCTGGCTCCTGTTGCTGGCGTATTTGAAGGCTTTCGAGCAAATGAGCAGTGGCTGCTAAACCCTGTGTTGTCCCTTTATACCGGTTGGTTGATAGGAATTCCTCCTTCATGGATTGTGATAATCTGGAATATATTGGTTGGTAGAATCCCCAAACTAATCATCAACCAACCTCCGGTCTCGAAGACTACCCAAATGATGTTTGAAAAATATGCCACAGTGTATCAGACTCCTTGTTTGCCAGCACGCTTAACATATTTCACCGATTGTGCGGTTTCAAAGGCATTGAACATCTGCAGACATCCAGATATTGTACTCAACATTTTTCTGCAAGCTACACCTCTGATAGGCAACCCAAGGTCCAGGCTGTCTACCTGGCTAAGCTTCTGTGCACAAGTCAAACCCCAACATCACAAAATGCTGCCTGATTAGACTATGTGGCTTTGTCCAAAAACATGGAGGATTCTCCAAAGTATGGCAAGTTTACTGTGGAATTGATGATAAACATAACTGTGGCATTTCTGTGTTTCCAATTATATCACCAGAAAATGGTCGATAGACACCCCTACTTTCGCTAGTGAAAACACCTTTTTGTGGCACCCACCATTGACCATTTGGGGCTAATGTTGAAAACAAGTTCTGCTCAGGGATTTCAACTCATCCCAAAATATCTCATCCGCATCCATTGATCGCCATCCCAATTCGGTGAACTTTAAACTTACCCCCCCCCCCCTATATACTGGTTGGTGGTTTTAACCATCTTGAAACATATTAGTCAATGGGAAGGATTAACCCATATATTATGGAAAATGAAAGCCATGTTCCAAACCACCAACCAGTATAAGAACTCCTCCTGATTCAACAACTCAGTTGGTCAAATATCCATGAAATACATCCCTCAAAGATCTTAACATATCATGTGGGTAAAACAATGTCATGTTTACCACCCATGACTGGGAATGGTAAACATACCACCTATTTATGGTGATTTGGTTTGGGAGATGGCTTATGGCATTGTTTTACCCTTTTACAGTCAGAACAGTGGTTCATTTATATTGTTTTTACAAAATCCATTACTATAAATGGTGATTATATCATCGTGGTTTATATCACCTATTTATGGTGTTTTACCAACATTATCCCATGATGTCTTCCATGATGTACAGTAGCACCACCCAAAGGTCGATGCCAAACACGGCCAAAGACATCGACCTACACGGGGGTTACGATATAAAGGCTTAGCAACACCAAATGACGATATATAGTCAATAGATATATACATATGTATATAATGCATAGCTACATATATATATATATATATGTATTATATTATTCATTATTATTTATTATTATTATTCATTATTATTTGTTGTTATTATTAAGTTTGTTGCCATGTTGTTCCAGGACATGGCCTGGCCAGCCCTGATGACACAGGGGCAGGATCAGCGACATGCCGGGCCAACCAGCCACTTTGCCTAGCCATGGAGCACCATGGAGGGAGCCACAGAACTATGGGAAAACCACCATGGTTTTAATGGGTAAATCAACTATAAAATGGTGGTTTTTTCATGGGAAAATCATTGTTATAACAAACATCTGGTTATTTAACATAGCCATAGCCATATATATGTTTATGGGTAAATCAACCAACTCAAAATATTAACCATCTAAGTAAAAACATATGAAAACCACATTACCCTCTGGTAAACGTACAAAAAACTATGGAAAACCACCATGTTCAATGAAATCAGATGGGGTTCACCACGATTTCCCTATTGAAAGAACCATTTTTAATGGGGCTACCCGGCCTGGTAAACGTACAAAAAACGTATGGAAAATCACCATGCTTTTAATGGGTATTTAATGGGTAAATCAACTATTTCTATGACCATTTTGCAGAGGGTATCTGGTTGGTGGTGCAATGTGCCCATCTTGAAAAATGATGGAGTTCGTCAATGGGATGGATGACATCCCATATATTATGGAAGATAAAAAATGTTTGAAACCACCAGCCAGTTATGGGTAAATCAACCAACTATCCATGGCCTTGTTCAATAGCTAACTGTGAGTTTACCAGAGGGTAAGCAAGAACAAAAAAGGGCATCAAACTGGGAAATCTTGGAAGTTTAAGACGCCGATTTTTCATGGGATATGTTAGGGACGCCTTCATTCCGGGATATGGTGGGATGGATTTTACGATGAATGTGGCCCCATCATGAGGGATTGCCGACAGCCCAGCTTGTAGGGGAAAATAATGGGTGGGCTTTGACCATGGCACATATGGGAAACAAAAAAAAAATACTTGGTACAAACACTAATCCCTTCCCCTCAAGTATTGAATACCCCCAAGAAACCCTGGCTTATTGCTGGATCCTATTGAATCTATGTTGCGATCCCTCATAGGGGGTAGCAGCCGGGTAGCAACTGTGACAGTACCCATTGATAGAACTGGGGTCTATCATTATCTCTGGCAGCAAAGCCGATGCCCCAAGTGGGTATACACCAGCTGGTCGAATTTTGAGTCTTTTGTTGGGTTGTCAACATCAGTAAATTTATCAAACCATAACCCATTGATACAATATAAGCTATAATACAATGTAGAGAACATGATCTTTCAGAGTGACTTTCCCTTCAGGTCGATGTGAAGAAGATGTGAAGAACATGTTCTAACACCGCCTCGCGTACCACGTACGTCACGTACCAGATCTAAACTGTGGTAGACCCAACAATCCCCAGCTAACCTGGTCAGCTGGAAATTCCTCCATGGTAGAAAAATCCAGCTGGATGAATTTCCTGATGGGATTGTTCAAAATGTTTTTTTTGTTTAATGGGTTTTCGAATCATCTAGTTTTAGAAAAACATCTGTACTAGTAGATAGATGTTATATGATCTTATAAAGTGGTTGGTGGTTTCAACCCCTCTGAAAAATATGAGTCAATAGGAAGGATTATCCCATGTATTATGGAAAATAAAACATGTTTGAAACCACCAACCAGATAGATTTTATATGATGTTATAAAACTGGGCATTTTTGGAGGAGCCACCCCACTCAACGTTGGGAAGTTGACCTCAAGACCCCCCTGGCTGCGCGCCACGTTGCCAATGGCCGGGGCATTGTTGGGGGGACGTGGAGTAGTCACCTGCACTACTCAGGTGGCTGTTGCTGTTTGGTGGTGCTCACTGAGTTGGAGTAACAGCTCAGTCGTAGAGATTCTGCGCATCGCCTATGGGGGTTGAACCGCGTTTGAACCAGGAGACAGTGATAACGGACAAAATTACTTGTTCATTTTCATGCCATGAGCAAATTAGAATCGTCCCCTATCTGTAGTGAGGATTTCTGAGGCAACTCATACTTTGAGGCAACTCATGCAAAACAGGCGTCTCGGTATAGGGTTGTCCCCCATCGGTAGTGAAGGTTTTGCACACCCCTCAGCAAGGCCAAAGCGAAGCAAAACTAAATTAGTATTACAATCATTTCCTTCGTTACTCATATGTATATAATATTCCACCAAGATCGGAACATATAATGACCCCTGACAAATGAATGTAGAGATATTGAGACCCAAATGATCAAAGGAAAGGCCATGGATGGTTGGCACTAAGCCAGGCAGCCAGATCGCCGGCTTCGAATGGATTTTGATCTCCAAACGAATGGTGTTCGGTACGAGGGGTTTTTGTGTTGGGATCGGTACGTGATTTTTTGACCATTTAGCAGCCCCAGAATGGCATCTTTAAGATGGGAGTTGGAAAAAACCCTCTTCTTCATCCATCAACATCATCATCTAGTTGGGACATGCTCAAACCAACAGGATGAATCCAACATTTTTGATCATCCGTCGTGGGGGTTCTCGGAACTCCTCCCAGTTTCAATGAAAGAGTTGGAAGATCATCCAGTTATATAGATGATTGGAAGATCCCCACTTAGATTAATGGCCTATAACATGCTCACAAGAATCACTATAGAAACCCCAAAAAAAGATAGGAAGGTCATTTCTTACTAATTTAGAATTGGGTTGTGCTTTTCTACATCCTTTTGGAGCTTGCGTCCTGCCAGTTAGACCCGGACTCCGGTGCCTGCCACCTGAGATGTCCGTCCATGTCAAAGGCGCTCAAAGTACCAGGCGTGTCTTCCCCCGAGAATTCTTTGCTATAGAAAGGATGGTTGTTGTTCACGGCAAAAACCTGTGCGCAAAAAACATGATACAGATCTTTGGATATATCAGTTGATATTTCATGGCAGGTGATGTGATTTCATGGTTTTATCGGGGAAACTCTTGGTGATTTTCGGGGTACCCCTGTTTCTCAAACAGGATGTTGTTGTGCCAGGATAAGCACCAAAGACCGGAAATGGGGATCCAACAGCCTTACGAACGCAACACATAACACAAGAAGTGATGAATTTAGCCACCAGAGGTTAGGATTTTATGATCAAACACAGGGATTTCGTGTCTCAAGCATCACAGATCTTGAGGATAACCAAAGGACTCGACCAATCCCTAGGATGCCCTCCAGTAAAATAACATCGCAAAAGGGAAAATCCAGCATGTGTAGATCATTTTCCCGAACGGGAATCCCATGGATTTCAACATCTACGTTAGTTTACTGGAAGATATTTGGGACGAACTGGATGGAGCCTGCAGAACCTCAACAAGACTATGCACCACCAATGTGCCCACCTACATCCACCTGTTTTGCCCATCCGATTTCAACCCGTCCCCAAGCATCGCAGGCGTCCTATGAAAAATGAGGAATACTGCGACTATGGATTTCCTCGAGTATCAAAAAGAGGTGGTGCTCGCACCAAATTTCAGGAAAAAAAACAGAGGTTGAGTTTTTTTTCAATAACCTGACCAAACTGTAGTTGGTTCATCCCTAGTCGCCTGGTTGGATAAATCATATTTGTTTATTCAGGTCACGTTTTACCAAGCCCCCATGTATTAAAGAGAAAACACATTAAAACTTGGTGGATTGCCATACCCGTTCCTTACTCATGTTGTAAGAAACCAATGGAAACCATACCTTTGCCATGGCCATTTTTGGGGGGCACTCTCTGCAATCAAACATGGCAACTGGAGAATTTCAATGGAATGGGTAAATCATCTGCGAATGGCCTGGAACAATCGCTGATTGCCATGAGCATAAACCCTTCAGCCGCGTATGCAAGATTTCACCATTCCAATCCAAAACTAATTTATTTTAACCTACCCTTCGCCAAAGTTGGCCTCGTGTTTTCAATGGTTAAGCATGGTTAAACCCATTCTCACCAATTCCAACTAATTAGCATCGACATATCTCAATAGTTAAACCTATATTTTCATCTACCAAGTCCCCATGCTGTGTCATATGAGCCATGAAAATACCCCTGTCCCATCCCATTATACTGAATTATACTGCTTGATCGATGAGTACCCCATCTTGGCCACAATCCCAAATACACGTCAAGAAACCAGGTAATCAACAATGTTTTTATATAAAGGCTCATACACATGAAGTTGACGTACATAACTTGGTGAACGTTTGGGTCAATATGGGTTATAGCGCATTAAGTAACTATTTCGGGGGCTATAACCCAATAAACATAACGTTTTGGGTGGCTCTTCCTGTAGCTGGTGAATGCCTCGCAAAATGGTTCGATGATTTATCCATTAAATAGTCTGGTGATTTTCCAAAGTTATGTTAGTTTACTGATGAATAATTATGCTGGATAAGTGATGAATCCCAGTAATTTGGAAAATAGGTGAATATTAATTATGGTGAAATAACAATGGCCTCTGGTAAACAAACAGTTTCCCATATTTTTTTTGTGAGTAAAAATTGGGTACCCCATATTCCATTCAATACTTAAGATGGCTAATACATGTTTAATACTAAACATAGAACCATATTGCCAATACTTAAAATTACTTTACTTCGTGTGATCCCCACCATGACATTTATACATTTTGTTACTGGCAAATCTTCTGGCATTCTATCTGACATATTTTCTGGCATATCTTCTGGCATTCTACCTGGCATATCTTCTGGCAAATGTTCTGGCATATCTTCTGGCAAATGTTCTGGCATATCTTCTGGCAGATGTTCTGGCATATCTTCTGGCATATCTTCTGGCATATGTTCTGGCATATCTTCTGGCATTCCATCTGGCATTCTATCTGGCATATCTTCTGGCAAATCTTCTGGCAAATCTTCTGGCATTCCATCTGGCATTCTATCTAGCATATCTTCTGGCATATTATCTGGCAAATCTGCTGGCATTCTATCTGGCAAACATTCTGGCACTTTATCTGGCATATCTTCTGGCATTCTAGCTGGCATATCTTCTGGCATATCTTCTGACATTCTTTCTGACATTCTTTCTAACTTTCTTCTGCACATTCTTTGTCCCATATCTTCCTACATGAGGTCCGGCAGGGAACACTTGGCGTGGATACTCGCGTTTGAGGTCCGGCAGGGAACACTGGGCGTGGATGGTCGTGGTTGAGGTCCGGCAGGGAACACTGGGCGGGGATACTCGCGGTTGAGGTCCGGCAGGGAACACTGGGCGTGGATGGTCGTGGTTGAGGTCCGGCAGGGAACACTGGGCGGGGATGGTCGTGGTTGAGGTCCGGCAGGGAACACTGGGCGTGGATGGTCGTGGTTGAGGTCCGACAGAGAACACTGTGCGTCGAGGGTCGCGGTTGAGCAGGACGAGGAGGACGACGAGGAGGACGACGAGGAGGAGGACGACGAGGAGGAGGAGGAGGACGAGGACGAGGAGGACGAGGAGGACGAGGAGGAAGCAACTGACATAAAATCTAACAACCCTCACCTGGCAGGTGGGGAAAAAAAATCAAACCATAGAAGTAAAACCTCTAACCATATGTTTAACCATATTAACCATATTAACCCCGAAAAAACATATCAAGTAAAACAATCTTAACCCCTAAAACCTTATTAACCCCTAAAATATTAACCATCTAAGTAAAACCATATTAATTAACCACATTTCCCTCTGGTAAACTAACATAACTATGGAAAATACAATTTTGAATGGTAAATCAACTATAAATGGCCATTTTCATGAGCTTTTTGTATGTTTCCCTGGGTCCCAATCATTTTCACCCACCCTTCGCAGCGTGCTTCGGCTTCGGGCAAGGCGCCATGCCGTTGCCCAGCGACGCGCCGCCGTCGGTCCAGGTGCCCTCCTTGCCGCCGGCCTTCCACAGCACTTGGCCGCCCAGACCTGGAAACGGAAGCAATGGTGAGTTTCATATATATATAGTGTGTGTATATATATATATTTATATATAGAGAGAGTGTATATATATATATATATTATTGTATATATATATATTATTGTATATATATATATATTTGTATATATATATTGTAAATATATATACACTATATATATATACCCTATATATATATTATATACTATAAACTATACATATACAAAATATATACATATACAAAATATATACATATACAAAAAATATATATATATATACGAACACTATAATATATACTCTAAATATAAATATATATATTTATTTATTTACATAGTGTGTATATATATATATACTATATATACATATACATACACTAGGTGCGGCAGCGCCTTTGCTTTGCAGAAGCCATGAAGTTTATTTATAGATGCCTTCGGCTGACCCCAGAGGCGTTTGTTAACAAACAAATTCTACGCCCAAGGCCAATATGGCTCAGACGATGACACCTTGCAATCAAGACTTGGAATTCTGGAGGTCCCCAAACTGTTTTCACCTCAGATTGTACCTTAATTATTTTCCATTGAGCCATTGTTTAGTTTGAGTGCTATCTCTGATGGTTGGGTCCGCAATGAATGTCAGGCCTTGAATAGCGTTGCAATATACAAAGGTTCTACTACAAGTTCACGTCATGCAACGCAAAGAATATGAATGGCAGATAGGGTTAACACTGTTGCGCCACGCCTCAAGCAGCGCACAGAGTCAAACGGCGGCAACATGTGTATGAGGCAAAATCTGAAGCCAGAGGGTGGGTACAGCAGCTGTGGGCTATTTAAAAGTATTGACCGTCCACTTCTTGAGATACCCAAGTTTGAAGGTTATCCGCACAGACCCCCCAAAAAGAGAATCCAAGTCTGGGACATTGACAAATAGGGAGGCTAGGGGCAAACTATCCAACTCTTACTGCCACATGGCTGTCGCAATGAATCTAGCTGCCAGCTAGTGTAGCCACTAGAACCAAAACGGTTTTGAAATCATTCAAAAAAACACGAGTCATGAGCCTTTATAATTCCCAGTAAAAACGGTGAATAAAAAACGATTTCAATGTGCCAAAAAAAAAGTTTGGGACATGTCCACCCCCATTATCGATCCAGTTTTTGTTTGAGCAAATCTCAAAAAATCCAGAAACCATCACTGCTGCCGCCGTTAAACAATTTGGTCCAAAGACTCATGCGGTAGATTTTTCCGGTCATGTCTTGGAAAATCATCGTTTCCTCGCGAACGGTGAACTGGGGCGCAAACTGGGGCGCATCGGTCGTCATTCATATGGGCTTATGGGTAGCCATGAATCCCCGGGTGAACAGCAAAATAGCTGCTACATGGCTACCCATAACCACATATCAATAACCAGGGGATTCATGGCCAAAGAAAATATGGCATGATAGGTTTTAAATGGTTTTAATCATTTTAATCCATCCCCATGACTTACTTGAAACCACCAGCCACAGAACTTTTGATCGAACATGAAACCTCTCAGATCTGTCTCTTCCCCAACAATCATGGAGAGAACTGCTGGAGCTTTCTTGTAAAGATCAAACATCGTCAAACACTCACAAATGACATTGCAAAGAACAAACACACCCCCAATATCTGAAATCTGCATCCTACAAGGGGGCAGATTTCATCCATCTTCGTCTCATCAATTTGCATGTAAGCCACTGCCAATAGTAAACATATATATATATATATTTATAAATACATACAGTAGATAATGAATGATAGTGATCCCCCCTAGGATTGTCATATTCCCCAAGTGGAATTCGGCCACCCAGCCCGGCCGAATTCATCACCATCCTTGTCCGGGAACAAGGCCAGAAAGTTCCACACTGGCACGTCAGGTTCGAAGGTCCACAGAATCTCTCCATCGCTGGCGTTCAAGGCCTGACTGCCCATCCCTTGCAATCTGAAGTGATGGCTTTGATAGTTGGAAAGATTCGGCTAAGCTGAGGGCTCATCCCCGCGATTCGGTGGGTTAGCCCAAATCGCTGGGAGTCTGGCATGTCCAGCTGTTTCTAAGTGGATCAACTGTATGTCCTTTTGGAAAAATAGAGGTGCCAGTCTAGTAATGTCTAGTATACCAGCTATCCACTTATCATCATGTACCTGAATGTACCTCTTGGGTGTTCAATGGAGGTTAACTTCTTTACAAGGTGGTCCATAGGTCAGCTAAGTTGGTTTACAACTAGTGGGGTATATGGGTTTATAAAGCTACAAACATAAGTGGGGAAGCACCACACTGCATCTGATTCCCCCAACTAATATAATACATATATATATAATATATATATATATTGACTGTATGTATATATATATGGTTAATTAATTACCGATGTCAATCAGCCCTTATTGATCCTTCTTGGTGGTTGGTGGCAACTCAAGCCCTCAAACCCAAACATTGGGGGGATCACCGTGGTTGGCGAAATCTTCATGAATCCTCGCATCAACCAGTTGATGCTGGCCGAGGGTCGGTCACCAAATGATTCGCTGTGCCCATGGTTGAAGGCTCACGGCAATCACCGGCAGAAAAGACCACGCCCTCGTGCACCATGGTAAATCCTCAACTCGGCTGGTTGGGGAAAGCCATCTGAAAAGAAATTCAACCAAGAAGACGACCATGGACTGGTTGTTGGAGGCTGGAAGACTTAGATTCCTCTAAAAAGTAGTGATTCTCAGGGTCTGTGTCAATTGAGGGATGGCAAAAATGTTATATGGGGATCATCACAGGCTTGAAGGTAAAGAAAAATGGAAACCGCCACGCAGTCATTTAAGACCACAATTTCTGGTGATTTTGTCCAATTTTTGGGGTGTTGAGTCAATCACATATGTTGCTGAAACTTCAGCTGCAGGTACAAAGAAAATTGGAAGCCACTAAATATTCCCGGGCTAGTCATGCACCATTCACTAGTGAATGACTTGGGGAAATCAAGGGTCAGGATGCGACGTTCCCTTCCTGGATGCCTTTTCTGCCTTTCACAGACATGGACGCCCAGAAACAGAGACATGTGTTATTAGTATATATATATATAACATAATTATATATATATACACATAATCAAGGAAAACCAAAGCTCGGCAGTGACCATGGCTCAGAGATAAAACCTGCTCTTCACAAGTGTGTTGCGCTTGGGATTTTCTGCATATTCGATAGGCAAAGGTCCTTCCTTCAAGGTGGTTTCGAAGTGAAATGTGTGTTGGTTTATAGCCCCCATGAACGTAGATATTACCTACCATAAACCCGAGTTCAGTCATAGTGCTTAGCCATGGTCTCATGTGTCCCAAGGATCCGTTGTCTTGGCAGATGGCCTTGGAGGTGTTGGTGAACCACACCGGCTTGCCCGTCTGCATGCTCACCGCTCGCACCCCACCGCTGGTGTCACTGGTAAAGACGGAGCCTTGATAAATGGCAGGGGCGTTCATGAGATTCGCAGGGAGCACATTCACTTCCCATAGCTGCTTCCTGGGCAGCGGAGCTGAAGATGAAGAGGTGTCGGATTTTCAAAATCAGAGGGTTATAAGTTACAATGTCCAATATGTGTGTATATATACATATATAATAACTATGTATAAATATATATATATCATACATTGTAGATTGGGTAAAATAGAATAATATAGAATAATGCCAACGTATTCCAACCCTTTCATCATCATCTACCAGGTTTTTTTGAAACTGCACAAATGGAGCGGAGCATCCCAATGGTGGAGCCCACAATGTGGATGGCTTCTGTCAATGGGGTAACTCTCGTCTCTCATCTATCTCATTGTCATGATATGTTCTGATATTATACAACATGTGTTCATAGCCATCACCCAAATGTTTTCAAATCCCTTCTGGCTGAGCGAACAGGTTTCATCGAATCCACTTGATCTGACTACCCTCCAGTAATCAGCAATTTGCAGATGATTGTTCCATTTGATGCCTCCATGTTGTTGGGAATTTCCCAGTTAGCCATATTTGATGATTTTTGATGAATACCATCCGCCCAATATTCAACACCCCCTTTCTATGGTCAGTATATGTAAATCCACTAGTAAACCCTGGTTTCTGGAGGCTGTTTATATAATGACGAGCATCCCATCCTTGTCGAACTTTCGCAGCCCATCGGCAGCCGAGAGGTAGACATTCCTGAGTTGTACTTGGCGGAGGCTAGGGCGGTGCCCCCTAAGGTAGAAGGGTGATGTATAACCCCATCTGCTACTGGTTGGTGGTTTGAACCCCTCTGAAAAATATTAGTCAGTTGGGATTATTATTCCCAATATATGGAAAAAAAAGGTTCCAAACCACCAACCAGGTTATCACCATCAACCCTGCTAAAACTACTTAGAAATCAACTTAGCTCATTGCCTGGCACCAAATATGAGTGGATTGAGGTATCATCGCATGCAAAAACAAGTGGGGAAGGAGTGAATAACGATTTTCACGATTTCAATGGCTGATTGTCAGCTGCAATTGGCGGCTTGGTAGCCAGGCAAATACCAAGAAAATGATACTTAAATTGATCAAAAAGAACCAAAGAAGTGGTAATGTTTACAGGGACAGTCATAGAGCCCCTTGGAGGAAACGACCCCAGATTTTCTGTTGAGACTTCATTTTCCTTCCATCATCTGAGCTGCATCTGATGGTCGATGGCGGTGCCCCAGGTCAGGGTGTGAAAACGTCCTGCCGGATGATGCCAGGACCACTTCAGACTTTGGTTCAGGAGGAAAGGTCCAATCTCCTGTGGCGCCGCGACGTGACAGTCCATAGGAAGGGTTGATGATATATTTTGATGTGCATATATATAAATACCTTGACCTACTAAACCCTGGAAAAAAGTAGGGTTTGTCTGGAAAACCCGGTTTTCCGGGCTTGACATACCGATAACCCGGTTTTGCTTCCGAAAACCCGGTTTTCCATGGTTTTCCTGGAAATCGGATGACATCGATGAATTGGTTCATCACAGGAGGCTCTATGAAAGAAACAGCAGATCAGGAAGACACCAAATCACAAAATTGGTGGAATTGTGATGTTCAAGATTCAGAAGTGCCCCACGGTTGGCCACATTCATTCCAAAAGCATAAGAATTTCCGAAAGTATCAAACCACACCGGCCCGACGGTATGTGGTGGCCATTTTCATTCGGCTTTGGCAGGGCTCCCCAGTCAGCAGCTGCTTTGCTCCTGCGCATCAGGTTGCTGGGTGAAAACCATTTTCTTAGAGCCATTTGGGGTCAAACCGTGCCTGTTTGGCAAAATGAGTTCCGGCAGTCTTGCTAAGTCTGCACCCGATCCTGTGTGTGATGGCTTGTCTGATGAGTGGGACAAGATTGAGGTGATCCGTGATAAACTGAGAGATGGCCACCAATTGGTGCCAGAGGGGACGAGCACCGAAGGTATCCAGTCTGCAGTTGCAATCAATGAGGTCTTGAAGCCAGTCTTGGCCCGGATGGAGCTCCACTCCAACAAGTTGCCAGAAGTAGAGACTTTGCGCGAAGAGATTCAGAAGCTCTATGTGAAGAACAAGCAAAACCGACCAGCGGCCGATATCGAATCCGATGGCTGGATCATTCGAAAGCTTTGCACATTCGTGAAAATGAAGTGCCGGCGAGTTGAGGTCAGCCTAGAACCTTGGCCAATTAAAAACAACAAGTTAATGGCACCCCATCCACAAAGATACAGTTTCGGGACTGGAGCGACCTAAAGGGACAGTAAAATCGGAATTCGGTGGTCATTTTCATTTTCTGTTGATTGGTGGGCTGCCGCCTGTTAAGGATGATACTTTCCAAGCGCTAGTTCTGACTCTGGCACCGCACCTGGAGGACATATGCATGCTGTCTCGTTTTTTACATTGAACCATGTCATCGGATATAATAACTACATGAATTTGGACATTGAAGCAGAATCGAAAAACCATAACCTTATGGCGATATAATAAATTATAACCTTATGGCGATAAAATAAGATATCGGAAATTTGAAGATCAAAGCAACTAAAGCTTTAGATGCATGAACTTTTGCCCAGGAGGTTGTAACGGAAGTGAACTCCCGGAAGCCCAAGAATGAGGAAGAGGACATAAGTCTTCCAGTCAGTTTTCCATTCACCTCATACTATCACTTCTGGCACCCATGTGTCTTATGTGCAATCTAGGAACAAGATGAAGATGAGGATGAGTATGATCCGGGAACTAAACCTCCCGCTGCCCCGGCTAGTGTGCCTGCGGCAGCTACTCCCCCGCCTGCCGCTACGCCCAAACCCAGCGAGTCCTTGCCAGCCGAAGAGGTTCCTCCAGGTTCTTCAGGCCTGGCACTGGGTTTTGTCCAACATGAGAGTGTGTATGACCTAGTAAGCCATTCAGTATCTTGGCAGGTGATGTGTCCAAGCGCTTGGCAGCTGCCAACGATTTGCTGAACCAGTCCAATACTCAAGTCAACCAAGTTCCATCATGCTATCAAGTATTCAGCTTGTAGGGATAGAGACTCAGGATCCGCGAGAAGAAAAAGGAATTGGAAAAGGAAGAAGTCACAGGCCCCTTCATTTGTAGCATTTGAATTTGGTTGTTGGTTTCTTGTCTCAAACCTTCAAACATGACCATCAACACGATTTCCATGGGAGGATCTTCATCGGTTGGTGCTCCTGCCGGGGACTTTACTGAGACCCAGCCGGTGGATGTTATGGTATTGCCAGTGCCCCCCGACCGTTCCCAGAAACACATGTCACCAGAAACGAGCGAAGAGAAACGAAAGAAGTTTCAAGTAAAAAGCCTTCATACTGAGACTGCTGACTTGCCTGGTGTCCAATCCACGCCTGAGAGTGTCCAAGCGCCTCAAGCTTCTCTCCAAGCTGTGCCTGCCCAGGAGCCGTCTCACTTTCTACGCATTAACTGCCCAATGTATCCCTATGTTGAACTATGCCTGTTTGTTTCCAAAAAATATTTAAATCGATGTGTTGAAAACCTGCTGCATACCAGGAGGCATCCACAGCGATGGCTCCGGGAGTTGACGCTGACGCTGAGGACAGAGAAGTTTTGAGACGAGAAGATCAACTTAGGAACAAGAAAGAAAAGAAGAACAAAAAGGGCGACAGCAGCAAGCCGAAGCCAAAGTCAAAATCTAGAAAGGGAAAGGGAAAGAAAAAGACCACCTCTGCTCTTGACAAGCCGACAGCAAAGCCGGGTGCAAAGGCTCGAAAGCTTTTGCGATCAGCCAAAAAGAAAAAGCAGGACTCAGAAGAAGGTGAGGTAGGTGATGAAGGAACTGCAGCAACCGCAGCCCCCACAGCAAAGGCTAAGGCAAAATCGAAGGCGGCAACTTCCCCGAAAGGTGGCAAGGCCAAGGCCAAGCCAGGTTGTAAGAAGCCAGCAGCTAGCGACAATGTTGAGCCACCCAAGAAACGTATCCGGCGCAAGACCAGCCAGTGGGAAGACGATGACAAACTTTACGATCAAGAGTTGTATGAGGCAATCCAGGATTATGTTTACAAATTCACTACTGAGGATGCGGGCAACCAATTCAAGAAGAAAGTGAAATACCTTTTGAATTTTCAGATGTTGCATTGCACCATCGACCCCTACTACAGTAGGCAAAGTTGTATCACGAAGGCTCCCAAGGACATCACAGCCGATGGGAAAGACACGTCCTGGTGCTTCTCTTTTTATGCTGACTCAGAAAAAGATGGCCCCTATTGGCAGTTTGAGATGGCTTGCGCGATCATGTGCGCTCACCTCATGGTACCTAGACTCAAAGCATGAAAATGGAGTCCGATCCTTTGATATTATTTTGAGCCAAGGTGCTGAAAGCATGAGCTGTTGTCGACGTTGTCGATGTACTTCGTTCCAGCCATATCCAATCGCCTCATCGCGCTCAGGCACAGCAGGTGGATCTTGTGGTGGACAAATTGGACAAGGTGTCAAAAGATCATCCGATGTTGGCAGGGCTCCCTGAGAAGTTGCGCTACAACGGCCAATGCGTCATGTGTGAGATCAAGCAGGGTCAGGATGTCGACTAGCTGATTAGCTGGAATGCGATTTTCACCGAGAAAGCTGTGCCCTGTATGGCACAGGATTTTGGATACAAATCGCCACTGCCATTTTCGGCTTCCAACAATCTTCCAATGCTGGCAGTCAGTTGGTGTTCCGAGTGTTTCTAATAAAAACAACTTGACACTGGACACTTTCCTCGTGATTTAGTCGATCGGGCATGGTGGCATTCAAGATAGAAAGATCATGTCCTTACTCTTCAGGGGTCCCAGCTTGAAGGGTAGAAGGCGCCCCATGGTGAACAAGTTTCCCACATTTTTCTGTTGAAATCTGAAATTCCCACTTTCACTTCACTGGCTATAGGGCTAAGGGGTGCCTCGCCTTCATGTGCGGCTCGGCTTTCATTCCATGCCTCAGCCTGCGCTGACCGGAAGTGCCACGTGAGAAAATGCGTCTGTGTGAACTTTCCGATTGGGTGCAAATAAAATTGTGTCCCCAAGAGAACAAGCTCTTCAAGAGAAAATGAGGTTTGTTGTGCTGAAATGTGATCACCGATTGAATTTGCAGAATTGCAGCTCTGTGGCAGCTTCGTGTCTTTCAAAATTTGCTAGTGTTTTTTCGTATCCAGGAGTCAGTAGTGTTAAGGACTGCACCACACCAACTGAATTCTTAAGTAAAGAGAAGTGCTCATTTCAGCACTGTGGGCGAATCCCAAATTAAGCAATCATGTTTCTTTCTCCAGCTTCTCTCGCCCAGGCCTGCATGGGCAAATCTTCGAAGGCGAGAAACCTGAAGAAGGACCTGTGGAGGGTTCGGCTCCAGCTGAAACACCATGGTCGTCCACCTGGCTAGTTTAGCAACACTTCCACTTTTCACGAGTTGATTCATGCAATGTGCCGGATGAGATCCGATCAGAAAAAATCATTTGGCAAAACATGAAATTTCAATCAAAGATTTGCTGGCTCCAAGATGAATTTGGATCTTCTTGTATGGCGGTTGCGGGCCATGGGATGCCCGAAGGCAGGTTGTAATTTATCCCCACCAATCCGATGCTTTCAGATTCACAAAACCCGATTCCTTATAGATCCTTGTAGCACGTCCTTTCCTCCTGTGCTATCAGGCAGTGGTGGCTGTTCTGGTGATGCTGCATTGGGTTGAAGGCCAGTTTGACCTCACGAAGGACACTTCCGTCCGAGTTGTTTGAGGTGAACTATAGATTGTACTCAATCAGAAAATTTGAACATCACCTGCGGCAGGATATTGATTTTCTTGAATATTTCGCCGGAGCTGCAAACACAACAAGATTCATGAGATGTGCAGAGCTCCGATCGGCCAAATTTGACTTGTTATACTTTGAGCCCAAGAAGCAAGGCAAACGGAAAGGGTCTAGATTCACCAGAAAGACCGAAAGCAATTTCATGGATTTGCTCACTCCCAGTGGCTTCTTGTTTCTTGCATTCCAATTAGACTTGCGATTTAGAATTTCGACCTCTCTTGCCACTAATCCCACTGTGTCCCCAGCCCCAATAGCTGAGACGCCTAGGCTGGCTTTGATCTTCGTCCTCAAGGGCCGGTGCAAGCCGGGATTTCTTGTGGTACTGGCCACGAAATGCAGCAGCATGGTGGGTATCAACGTTGGAACATCCGGGAGATCTAAATGCAATAGCATTGGCTTGCTTGACGTGGCATCTGTGCTGATTTCCAATGCCTTAACAGAAAGGACTGGTTTGTTTTGCTTGTTTCATGCACGTAATTTTTGCAGTTG